TTATACAAGGTAAGGTAATATTTTGTTTTCATTCTATACTCAATATGCGTCAAATACAGTGACAGATATAATTAAAAAAACCGAGTCATATACAAATTAACTTTTCTTGATTAATTCATATCAATCATAACCAGAATAATAGAATATATGTGTAGGGATTAATATGCACTTGAAAATTCGTATGAGTTATTCAGTACACATAAATAAAAAATAATGCAATTATTCCGCATAAGTAAAATCCAACCAATCTTTTTTAAATCTATCAGTGTCATCATAAAAAGAACATTGTCCTTTTTTTTCCTTTTAGATCTACATAATAATAATAATAATAAACAAATGAAATATTATTATTATATTTTGTGCGTGTAGTCGCAGGCTAAATCTTTATTAAATACCTTAAGAATCTTTTTTATTAATTAACTTCGAGGTTGTATTATTTTGAATAGCATGACATATAAATCATTGCTAGTTTTTCACAGATATTATTTATCTAATTTAGAAAATTGTTGAGCATAAGTTTATTTTTTTTTAAATCGGCTCATCGAAGATTATATAATTTAATTAGAAATTATTTATAAGAAAAATATTAATTGTTACATGACGTTCATTTTCAGTTATATCTCATCGTAGTCTCTTGTTAATGACACATTTTTTTGTTGTTGTTAAGAATAATTCTTTAGGAAAATATATTTCGATTATCGGAGACATCTACCACGGATAAACTCTAAACCAATCGTGGAATTCTTTCTTGCGTCAGTCAATCAATCATTTTCTATTGTGTTTATTTCCTTCCTTTCTGCATGGCATTGATGTCTGAAATAAAGCTATCACCTGATAATGTTTTTTTTTCATTTTAGCTATTGATTCATCATGGCTTCAGCATCATCGAGTACCGATAAATCATTTAATTCGATTCCGGAAGTTGACGATATAAATATGTTTCAAGCCGCACGACGAAATGGTCGAAGAAATGCTTTAGCAGATTTAGGAGAACAACTTTCTCAAGGTAAATTTTTGTTTTATTGCACTCATGTATATATATATATATATTCGATTTTATTTAGCGAATACTTCAATACAATCGCCTGAAGTTGATCAACTGTCACCACATTTTCAGTCAATGTCAATCAAACATTAATATACTATTCTATGCAATAAACAACGCATTTTCTATATACTAAGTGTCTGTGCTGTGATAGAAAATATTTTGAAATATTTTCTTATTTTTTTGTTTCTTTGTATAATTATGAGATAGAGAATGTTTTTGAATGATCGAAATAACGAACAGGAATTGTATATTAATTGTATGTTTGTTTTTGAAAGATATCTCATATGATCGATGCTTTGTATATTTAAAATAAAACTTTGAGTGTTTTTTTAGATGATTAACTGTTAATTTAATAATAGAAACAAAAAAATTGAACACATTTTTAGTATAGACTCGTATAAATGGCGGTTAGTATTTGAATGTTAGATCGAATAAATTAGCAAAATTTATTCATAATATTTAGTTTGATCTTGTTCGAAAACGCTTAACAAAAGAACTTAAATTACTAACAGAAAATCCAACACCTGGCATGTATGTTGGTTTTTTACATCTTAAAAATATTGTTATTATTTCTTTTCCTTTCTCTATATTTAGTCGAGTTGTTGATGATTGTTCGGATATGCGAAAGTAAATCTAATTTAATTTAATGTAATAAAAATATTGTTTTTGTTTCTTATTTAAGAATTCGAATCGATATTGAAGGTGCACCAGGAACATTATATGATGGTGAAAATTTTCAATTATTATTCAAATTTACTGATCAATATCCATTTGATTCTCCCCAAGTAATCAAATAAAATTATCATATATTATTTAATCATATTATATCTAGGTTACATTCATTGGTTCGAACATTCCTCTTCATCCACATATTTATTCCAATGGTCATATTTGTTTATCAATTTTGACTGATGATTGGTCTCCAGCATTAAGTATCAATGCTGTTTGTCTCAGTATTTTATCTATGCTTTCAAGTTGCAAAGATAAGGTACAAAAAAAGAATCTATATAATTTCGAATGAATATATTGAGTACTATCAAAAATCAATAAGATGAACGAGAGAAAATCTTATTTAATCAAGAGTATGTTATTTGCATTTTTTATAGAATAAATATGAATAGTACACATAAAGTTTCCGTAAGCAGCCGATCATAGTTTTTTTTCTTTATTGTCGTCTACCAATGAATTCTTGTTGTTAGTACAAGACATCTAATGAAATTATTATAGTTCTTTTATGCGTAATCGACATACATGAAGAATGATCAAACAGGAAGAAAAAAAGAGTTGCTTTTTTTTCTTATAAAAACTATATATAATTGGATTTGTTTATCTTCTAGAGTCGTCCGCCTGATAATGACTGGTATGTTCGTACAGCATCTAATGATCCTAAAAAGACACGTTGGTGGTATCATGATGACGCCGTTTAATACTCTAATGATTATTATTCTTCTAATGTATATTTATTTTGGCGCTAAGACAAACAGGTAAGAAAACAACAAAACATAATGCTATTTTATATTAAAAGAAATTTTTTTATTATTTATAGAAAACGAAAAACAAATGACGACATTATTTTTATTTAGAAACAGTGCAATATCTTTTTTTTTCTTTTTTATATTGTATCTCTCTTCTATTGAATAAATATTAGTATGTTGTTGTTTTTTTCCTAGAAAAAAAGAATATCGAAATTTGTTTTTGTCTTATTAATATGCAACAGTATGTTAAAGATATCTTTATTATTTAAGATTACAATTGAATAGTAAATAATTTGAATAAAAATTGACATGACATCTATGTATAAGTCATGTTTGACTGTGACTAATCTAATAAAGTTATTTGAGTTATATTTGACAAGTACATGATTGTTTATTTTTTTGTTTAAACTTTAAAGATGTCATCAGAATTGACACTTGAACAAAGTACAAAATCTTTTGATGGTTATCAATATGTTTATAGTCATGATAGGTATGAAAAAAACAAAAGATTATTTTAAATATTAAATTTTCTATAACATATAGTTATACGGTTGATTGTAATATGAAATTTGGTATTTATGTTCCATCTATAGCTGATAAAGAATGTGTACCATTATTAATATTTCTTTCTGGTTTAGTTAAATTTAAAGCTAAAGATTAGAATTTATTTTCTTCTATTAGGTTTAACTTGTACGGAACAAAATTTTATAACGAAATCAGGTGTACAACGTTTAGCATCGAAATATGGTTTTATTGTTGCTAATCCAGATACAAGTCCTCGTATGTAATATAGAAATGTTTTTTTCAGGATATGTTTATTATTTAAATCTACAATAGGTAATTGCAATATTGAAGGTGAGAATGATCAATGGAATTTTGGTGAAGGTGCAGGTTATTATATTGATGCGACAGAAGGGAAATGGTCAGAAAATTATCAAATGTTTTCTTATATAAATGATGAATTTTATGAATTAATTCTAAGCAATTTTAATGTTGATATTGATCGTATTGGAATCTTAGGGTAGAAAAACAGAAAGTTTGTTTTAGCATGAAGAATGATATATGATTTTTATTTTAGACATAGTATGGGTGGTCATGGTGCTTTAATTAGCTTTTTTAAACGTCCTAGTCAATATAAATCCGTTTCAGCTTTAGCACCAATTTGTAATGTAACAAAATGTGAATGGACTAGAAATGCATTTATGAAATTTCTTGGACAAGGTTAGATAAAAATCTTTGGAATTTCATTTTCTATTTATTGTTATTTTTTGAAGATGAAAATCTTTGGAAAGAATATGATGCTTGTGAACTTGTAAATTCATATTCTGGTCCTATTCCATATGCACCTATTTTAATTGATCAAGGTTCAGACGATAAATATAAAGAAGATTATTTATTTCCAAATGTATTTCTCGATGCTTGTACAAAAGCTTCATTTCCAATACATCTACGTGAACAAATTGGTTATGATCACAGTTATTATTTTATTATGACATTTTTAGAAGATCATTTTAAATATCATAAAAATGAATTTGAACATTCAGATTAAATAAATAAAATAGTACGATTGTAAGAAGTATATAAAATCCATGAATGTAAAGGGATATTTGCATCAATGCTTCGTCAAAATGTGTCTGAAGTATATAGGTCGAGTATTCATTTAATTAGACAGAGCTGAAAATTGTTAATAATTAAGAAGAAAGAGGATGTTTACATATTATCTTGTCTCCTGATTTCCTGCATAGGAGAGAATTCATTAAATTTCTAGAAAATACAGTTTACCGGATGTGAAGATTATTCTTGAAGAAATAAAAACTATCTTAAGCATGTCTTCTCAATTTAAGTACTGTTCGGTACATGTTTCCATATTAGTGATTTGAAAATATCACTTAGTAAGTCACTGCTAGATGTTTTTCTTTCATAAAATTTATTTATGGCGTTGTAAATGTAAGATTATTACCATGTTACTCTAAACCTATTTGTTTATGATATAAATTTGACTTCAATTTCATCAGAGACCAATGCACTGCTCTAAGATATAAATAGTGACTTTATTCAAATGTCAGTATCATCAGACATGAAATGTTCTCAGAAAAGGACGACATAAACTTCTCTATTTCTCCAATCAGTCGCATGAGAACATATTAATTACATATAACATATATTTATTATTAAAGTCACATTCTCAGAATAGCCAGAAACCTGCCATGATATATTAGAAGAATCGCAAATCTAACCAATCTTTTCTGCATAATTATAGGCATACATATTTGTAAGAAAAATATCTTTTTCTATTTCAAGATAAACGTATCAATTTACTTTTTACTGTACAATATAAACAAATAAATCAAATTAAATAAATAAAAGTTTAATTTATTCGAATTATTAAATGTTATATTGAATCCAGATAATGTATAATTATATAAAATTGTTTCTACTTGTCTCAAAACTAATTCATCATTACAACCAATTATATTACATATAACTAATTCAAAGATTTTTGTTATCGAATTTTTCTTTGATAATTTTATCATAAATTCATATTCTAGCCGTATATTAGAATCTGTATAACATTTTTGTTCAAGTATATCAGTATTATTAATCATACATGTTGAATATTGTTGTGTAGAACATGGTTCAATATGTTTAGTTTCAGAATTATAACAATTTAATTCTGATAATTTCTCAGAATCATAAAGTAATGGTGTTAATTGATCTATAGGATTTTTATTCTCACGATATGATTTAACTAAATCTATCATATAATTTAAAGCACAATTATCATTTCTTCGACAAATAATATATGCACTAATAACGAATTCTCTAATATGAAATGATTCTATTATAAATATAAAATAGATTATAGTTTTAAAATGAAATTTATCAATAAATTCTTCGATTTTTTTTTCTATTATATGTTTTCGTGCACCTAATGTATATAAGATATGGCTTCGATTTTTTTCATAATAAGTTAATACGTGTCCATAACATTTTTGTGCGTGAATACGTTCTAAATACATATTGTTAAGTGAAGAACTATTAAGCCATTCCCCACTTTGTATTTCAACAGTAATATTTTGATTAAAACAAGATAATTGATTAGTAGTTCGAAAAATAAAAATTAAGATGAAAAATATATTTTTCATTTTTATTAATGATTACCGCTAAATAAATTTTTATTTGATATATATCCTGTTTATTATCGAAAGCAATCCTATAGAGATTTGTAGTTATTGAAAAAAACAAGAAAAATTCTAGATATTTCTATTCATTCTTCTCTTATCAATCTAATTTATCTTATTTCGAAGTAAAATCATCCCTTAAGTCATTCTTCTACATCGATAAAAATAGAAAAGATGTGTAGACTAATACAATCATATATTAAAAGCCTTTTGATATTCTGTCTTATTCATTACCTTTGTGGCGTCTTTTCAAAGACATGAATGTAGTCTATCAATATTCTTTCAGTATAACGCGCCTACTCCTACTTGAAAAAGAAATACAAGAAGAGAAAAGAGAAGAAGAGGAAGACATATAAGACACGATAGTACTTCTTCGATATTTCATTTCGTTTGTTGCTGATGTTTTTATCATTATCAGATTGATAGAAAATAGAAAATGATGGCATCCATAGATATATTACAAAGTCAATCCGATCAGGTGAGAATTTTAGCTTAAATTCTTTCAAATAAATTTTTAACACAAAAAAAAGAAGTATAGAATATTTAGTGCATATTTTAAATATATATTGAATATTTTCAAAGTTTCTTTTATGTTTAGAAGAAAATATGCATGCTAAGAGAAATTATTTTTGAACTTAAGAAACACCGAGAAAATCTTTCCGTTATGAATATTATTTCCATCCCTTCCACTGAGTGGCAAGCATAGCATGAGAATATATTATATGTTGTCATAAAAAGTTGCGACAATAATGACAGAAAAAAAAACTATTCAAATGTAAAACTGGTGATATATTTACACCTTTTATTTTTCAGATAACTACATTTAAGTGGAATAGTATCTACTGATGGCAAAGAATATAACAAATTTTATACGAGAAGTAAGTCAAATGAAAATAAGGCAGAACAGAAATAGATAAACTAATTGAAATATAATATAAGACTAATGAGAAAAATATCATATATATATTAATCATTGTTTGAATCTTGCGTGTGGCGGAAATATATTTTTAATTAATTAACGGAAATTTTTGAAAGGAAATATGAAGAAATATTTAGAATACTAAAAACAAAGTTTAGTTTCAATATATCTATATATATATTGATGTTTTAATAAACGACGCAATTTATTAGTGTAGAAATGCTTCGTTGTCTAAGATAACAGTTACATTGTTTACAGTAATTTGTTGTTTAAGACAGTTGACATATTCGATTTGATCGCTGGAAGCAAATGCTTTTTCTTACTAACACACCATTACTGTGAGAGATGTTTTCATAGAATGTAGTTTTATTATTAGGTTCTTTAGGAACTTAACTTAACGCGTCCATTGTTCGGTGCATCATATATGATGCACGATACTTTTCGCTAAAAAGTCTGCGCATCACGTACGACGTGTTTGTAGCAAAGGACATCTTAAGCTAAAATTTGCTAGACGTTACTAATCGACCATTCTTGAAATACAAGACGTATCAGAAAAATATAAATAATATACTATAATATTAAAAATAATAAAAAAAGGGCGTATAAAAAGTATTATTTTTTCACATGGGACAATGAACGTGTTCAAGATTCAGAAACCTCTATAAATATTAGAGTTAAAACGATAAGTCATTATTATAGAGGAAAGAAATGGTTGACAAATGCTAATTTTATTTTCGAAGTTTACAAATAACATAAACGTCATTAATTTACGAGATATTTGCTCCGATGAACTGTAAAAATCAGGCGATTCTATAGAGACGATGAAGTTATTACAGTTTATACTACGTAGTTATTAATCTTTTTTACAATTTAATATTGTTTTGTAACCTCCGGGGGGTGTCTACAATTCTCTAATATCAAAATATAAAACTAGTTTCTTATTTTCAATAGAAAAATATTAAACTAATATGTATAAGCATATAATATCAATGTTAAGTTGAGATCGCTACTTATAATAGCTGTCCAAATAAACTGAAGATTGTTTATTTTTACAGTCTTTCGGATGTGATTCTTAACGATAGATTCACATTGATGAATTTCTATCTAGTATATTATCATGATACGAGCATCTATAAATTATTTAACTAGGTGAAAATATGTCGATTTACATACTCATCCTTCATGGCATACGAAGCATAAAGTTACAGAAGTATTCTCACGTATACCAGATAACCTTGTTTTTGAATATATTCTTGTGTCATATATCATTTTATAATTGTAAAATTTTCTTATTCAGGAAAATGTTTTGACACAAAATAATTTAAAATTATGTAAAGTAACTTATTTTGAAACATGTTGGTGTAAATTAAATTCAAATGAATCAGTAACGTGTCCTTATCTTTTACGTCATGTTATTTCATCTTCTAATTCATCATATTTTTGTGTTTATCATATAATTCGAAAAACAATTGAATGTTTTGATTCATCAATAATTTATCCAAAAGATGATTTTGTTTCGAATACTTATATTTATTTAACAATTATACTTTTTCTTATTGGAATTATGGGAAATGGTTTATCAATAATTGTTTTATTTGATAAAACACTTCGTTATTTAAGTGTTTATCGGAATTTAGCTATTCTTTGCGCTTTCAATATTTTCTATTTATTAGCTATATCTATTCGTCATATAAATAAATATAGCCAAGATTTACGTGATATTTCACCAAATGTATGTCGTTGGCATAAATTTATTGTGACTTTTACTGGACATCTTTGTTCATGGCAACTTGTTTCAACAAGTATTCAACGTGTTCATGCATTACTTAGTTTACAATTACACCGAACAACTTCATGGGTATGTAATCCGTTTTTTAATCTAACACATGTTTATAATATAAAAGAAAATACGGCAATATTTTATAGTACAGTTGATTGATCTTTTTATGAAATAATGAAAAAATAGTGGAGAAGTATGAAATTTTATTTATTCCATGAATTGTAATTAGAGGTGTAAGCCATCGGCTCTACCAAAAACGGCAGCGGCCGGTTTCAGCAAAAATCGGCTGATGGCTTACACCTCCAATTGTAATAGTAACGAGTGACTATTTATTCAAAAATATCGGTTTGTATTTATAAGATGTAATCTTCCGTCCTGATTAATTTATAACGCATTCAGATAGAGTGAATCGAGATGATATACTAAATAGGAAA